ATGTTTACATTGAAGATCATTACATATAGCTTCATACATAAGATGGTTTCATGTTGACTTAGAAACAATGCTCACAATAAGTGTCTAGGAAGAACGACTGGACTGGGGTAAAAGTAAATGCCTGTGGGTGTCAGGGTTGGCCTGGACCAAGATTAGAGAGTCATTTGGGCTGTTGTAAAACACAAATGACACTTCTCACAAGGATGAATTGTATCACCTAGAATCAATGGTCAAGGTTTTAAGGGGAACTGGCTTGAGATAAGTAAAACATTAACTCTTGAAGGTCCAGGCCAAGCCTGGCTCATCAGACAACGAAAGATCACCAGTTGTGATCTACATGAACCATATCCAGTGCTGCCGTTCCAGGAGAGGTAAGCTGTGTGTTTAACTCTCCTGGCTTTTCCAGTGCTTATCCATGTACACAAGACCCTTTTGCCCTCTACTTTTGACAACTCAAAAGTTTTACTCAAGCTTTTTACTCAAGACAACTATGGCAAGACACAGGTGTGTGAAGATCTGTCCATCTGGGGCTGGGTTGGAAGCTGGCACAATTAAGCATAGCCAATGTGTTGTGGGCAGCATGAGGCTGTGTTTGGCTAGAAGCCACATGGGTCAGGTCTCACTTGTCCTTAAGTCCTGTTCTATGATCTGACTCTCTGAGATGGACCAGAAATAGAACAAAAAATACACAAATCACATATTAAAGATGTCTCCAATCATGAAGACCTGAGGAGAGTGAGGACCTTTGGAATTCTAAATGCATTTCTTTCTCAGAACCTTGGAAATGGATCTGTGGAACAACTACAAGACATGTGCACTAGAGAAGTTTTGTGTGTGTGTGTGTGTGTGTGGGTGTGTACACCAAAGCAAAGCATCACAGACACATAGACGGCTCTTCTTCTTGAGTAGCTCTGATGATTTCCCATGTTTTAATTGAATCTACACCACTCACCTGAATCACAGGTGTTCAAGAACATAGTCAACAAGCTAAAAATATAAAGTTTTTATTGATTCTTTGTGAATTTCCCATGATGCACTTCAATTCCACTGGTCTCCCTATTCTTCCATAGCCATCCTCCCCCCTTGCAACCTCCACCTCAAAATGTAAAAATGAAATAAAATATAAGGAAACCCATCTCCCCATGGTAGCTGTGGTGTGGTTCAGTGTGCGACACAGTACACCCTTGTGTTTAAACAACTTTACTTACAGATGCTTATTACACAGAGTCATAGCTCTGGATGGAGACCTCTGCCTTCTGATACAGTATCAATACTGGGTTTGTGCCACAACTCCTCTGTGATGTTGTTGCCTTGTGTCATAGAGATTCTGTAGCTTTGGATCTGACTAACTCAAAGCTCTGGGTGGTAATTGATTTGGTTATCCTACCAGTTCTTTTGTATCCAAACTACCAAGGCCAGCTCTCCTGCTTACTAAGGGGGGTCAGGACCAGCTCTCCTGCCTATGGCAGATGGCAAGAGTTAGGACCAGCTCTCCTGTGCTCACGCCATTGAGGCCAGTTCTCCTGCATGTCCTGAGTTCCTCATCCAGATAGGCGGTGGGCAGTCTGCTCTTTTAAAACACATAAGAAATGGCCAGGATTGTGGTAAGTTCATACCTGTAAACACAGGACTTGGAAGCAGAGATCAGAGGAGACTGCAACAGAATCAAGGCTGAATATGAAAGAAAGTTCTAGAATCCCTTCTCATGACTCAGGTTTCATGTTCCAACCAGCACCTTGGTCACATTCCTGGATCTATACTTGTCTCAAGGGAGAAGGCTGCAGGGACGAGGGCTTCCCTGATTGAATGATATTTCTACTTGTTCCAGAAAGTATTGAAAGAACAGTAAGTACCCACAGTATGCCCAGTAACAGCAGGCCACATGGCCTTTGTGGTGTATTCTCATCTCGGCAGAACCTCTCTCCTGGGGTCCCTGAGACTTCTCCGCCCAACTCACTAATTTCTTTTGGTGGGGTCTACCATGCCAGCCCATCCTTCAAATCCCCCACAGCCTTTGTGGTGCACATCAGGCAAACCCACACTTTCCTGCCTTACCTTTATCTCTTGAATCCAGTTGAGAGTTCACGAGAAGAAAAATATTACACAAACTTAGTTTAGAAGCAATGGTAACTCAATCTCTGCATGCAACAACTAGAATCCTACTCTTATAAGCCATATAAATCTAATTCATACCATAGTGAATCCTCATGGATCCACCATGAAACTGGGAGAGACTAGCAGCTACATCTTCCTCTTACGCTGTTCCTGATCCAAAAGCTCTAATTCTCTCCTGCTTCCTCTCTCCCTCCTACTCGCCCAGTGATTGGGTCCTTTATTCATTAGGGGATTGGTTCATAAGAAGTCACCTAAGTACATGACTCACTCCTTGTCTGAAGCATCTCCTAGGATACTGGAATTACCATTAAAATACAAACAGCACCAAGGCCATCTACCACATCTACCTGATAATATTTTCACCTTGACAAAATCTCAGATCTTCAGGACCTCCAATGGCCAGGAGTAATGATGATAGCACCCAGGTATCCAGGGTGCTGTCCATATGCATTAGGACTCCTGTGATGTTAACTACACAGGTTCTCCTTCTGGGGCAGCAAGCTCTCAAGGCCAAAAAGACAGAGCAATGGTGGATCTCAGGTTGTCAATGTGTCAAGTCAAGCCTTCCCAGTGGGGGCATCGAGTACAGACTAGGACTCCAGGAGAGGCAGTGTGAGGCTTTGTTTGCTCTTAGCCAGGCCATGAGCCCCTGCAGGAAATGGTTTTCACATCTGGAATAAAAGAATCTGATAATACAGCCCCTACGAACCATTGAAGGCTCATCTCCTGGACTTCCCCAGCATGAGCAAGTGCTCTCTGCAAATGGGGGAACCCTCTCTCTTCCCACAGCATCAGCTCACCCAAACCAAGTGGTCCCCCACTCTGTGCTGGCTAGCATGAGGTAACTATTGTGGCTGGAATAAAGTGCAGAGATATAAACTGTCAGGTAGGACTTGGTTGACTGAGTGTAGCAAAAGAAAAATGGAGATCTTGTCTGGGAGAACAAAGGGTTTATTGGACTCAACAGGGGGACACTGATCTGCACATGTTGGAACCCTGCAGGACCCAGATGTTTATGTATGGAAAGGGATGGCATAATACTTGGGAACTCTGACTCTTCCTTGTGTTGTCCATGTGCTCCCAGAGCCAAGAATAGGAAGCAACAACAAAATGGCATTCCAGGAAATACAGATCTGAAAGCCCTAGAGAGTAGCGGGGCTCCTACCCAGCTATAAAGGACCTACAAAGTTGAAACAAGTTGTTTCACACTCTACCCTACCTCAGAGCTTCTTTAACTCATAATTCATCACTAGAGGGCTCCAGGAAGGAGGGATTACACATGAGGATAAAAGGACAACGGTGGTGGTCGGTGGAAGGTTAATCACAATGAGGTCTGCAGGAGGACTGACCCCAGGCTGAACAGAAGCACCCCTGCCATGGTCCAGGTGCTGCCTCCAGTGGGGACTGCTGCATTGCAGAGGTCTTCCTTGCAACAGAAAGTAGTCACATTTACAGGAGTACTGGCACTTCCAAAATCAGGAGGGCAGTTTGGAAGGCAGAAACTGCTCTTTTTTATGCTTCTTTCAAAGCCTGCAAGACATCAGGGAGTGACTCAGTTCTTATGCAGGGACAACAGAGCTTCCCAATATCTGGGCCACATGCCACCAGGTCTGGATGGCCCAGACATGTGTCTAAGGCATGTTGAAGAGGGCCATAGTAGCTCAGACTTGTGATTCCAGAATTTGGAAGACTGAGGCATGAGAATTTTACGAGCTCAATTCTAAACTGGGCTACATGGGGACTTCTAGGCTATCCTGGGGCTAGAATGAGACCCTGTCTCAAATGTCAAACAAATCAAAAATCAAAACCATGGGCTTGTAAGGAGCTTTTGTGGATAAAGTGCTTGTGTGCACAAGCATGTGCCCCCAATCCTGATAACTAGAGCCCATCACAAGATGTGGAGGCATTTGTGGGGTCGTGAAAGGATAGCTTATTTCCTGTCTGGGCACAGGCCTTGAACCCCGGACCCTAGTAGGACAATGGCAGGTGTTCGGCCATGCCCCCAGACCCCAGGCTCCTGACACACCACTGATCCATGATTTTCAGTCATGTAGGGCAATACAGCCCCTCCCTAAGAGAAGTTTGTGTCACCGAGCACAGGGGGAGGGCATGACTACAGGCCTCAGCCTCAAGAGATTTACATACTGATGCGATATTTTAAGGCCAGAAGGCAGAGCCAATTAAGCATTCTTCCCCAGACCCTCCTCCCTCCCCTCCCTATTTAACTCATGTCTGCCCTGAGTTTCCCCGGGTAGGGTGGGGGTGGTTGGGGGTGGGTGGGTGGAGGTGCATCCAGATTCAACTACCATCCGTCATGAAAATAAAGCCTGTAAAAACCATGGACTTCCTCGTGTCTTTTGGGGCCCACCATGGGAACCGTGGAGAAGGCCTTTAATGAGCCTTTGTCGCAGCAGCCACAACGCCTAATCTCCCACCTGAGCACCTTTCTATGTTCCCACCATGGAGGCCTCCAATTCAAGCAAGCCAACGATCCAGCCAAGTGAGTAAGGTAACCAAGAGTCCCCACCGCGTGGGGCACCTCCAGTGCTCTCCCTCTTGCCCCTCTCAGTGTGCAGGCCAGTCCAGGCTGAACACTCCCAGTCTCAACTCTTCTGCAGATTTCAGCGGCGCCTGGGAGCCCAGGAGTCTGAGACCAGTGGATCCCTGAAAGCCTTCTTGTCCAGGGTTCCCCAACCGAGAGCTCTGCACCCACACGGAGCTTCAGATTGAGTAAGAGTTCCCCACGCCAGGAGGGGGCCCTGCCACGCCCACCTGGTGCTGCATGGAACCACCTCAGTCAAAGATACCACACTTCTGATTCTCTCCAGAGGTACACCTCCCTGAGCCACCCAGAGCAGAAGAAGACCTGCGGGACCCACAACACAGCCCAGCAGTCCCACACCGATGACCACACCGAACTAATCTTCCCCACAGGCACGGCAGCCAAATTGTATTTCTGTGCTTAGGACACAAAGATGGAGATCTCCGAGTCCGAGGAGAGTTTACTGGATAGACAAGCTCAGCCTGTGAGCTTGAGGTTCAGTGTCGGACCTTGCCTCAATAAATAAAATGCTTGTCACAGAAGATACACATCAACTTCTGGGTCCCATACACTTGTACCTCCGCAGGGCATGTACATCCACACATGTATACACATGAGCCTTACACACAACGTGCTGGGGAAGCAGCTCAGTCGGTGAAGTGGAAGCCTAAGGATGCAAGATCAATCCCCAGCAACCATGTAAAGAGACAGCCAAGCGTGGGAGTGCGGGTTATGATCTCAGTCCTGGGTGGTGCGGCGGGAATCAGTAGGTCCTAGGGATTCACTGCTACCTCCCTCCTCCTCACCCCCTGTATCCTCCGCAAATCTTAGGTCCCAGTGAAGATCTTGTCTCAAAAAACAAGGTGGTTGGGACTGGAGATTTGCCTCAGCAGTTAAAGCACTTGTTGCTCTTACAGAAGAAGCCCCGGATTTTTTCCTCAGACCACACATGGTGGTTTACAAACATTTCTAATTCCAGTTCCTGAAGAACCAAAACTCATTTGCATAAAATCGTAAAGGATGCCTAGGAACCGTACTTAAGGATGTCCTCAGAGCATTACTTACATTATATTACCTACATTCATACATGTGCACCCACATTTACACACATGCACGCACACACACACACGTGCACGCACACACACACCACAAAGACACAGCACAGTGTAAGATCACCCACTGGCACAGCACAAAGGGCAACCAGCCTCTCAGATTCCTGAGTCCCCAGGCAGTTATATCCAGGAGACCTGCTCCAGGAGACAGGAAGGCTGTGGTCAGAACAGGAAACTGGATAGCAGGGAGGGGCTGCTCCTGCCTTGTCTATGTGGAGGATATGCCTGGAAACTGGCACTTTGGAGGATCTGAAATGTCCTAGGGTCTCTTCTATCAACATTCCTAAGTCAGTCCTTTAGCCTAAGCCCCAGATTCCTTCATTAAATGCAGACTCACTCAATGGTTCCAGCTCTCCTGGTCCATCAGTGAGCCTGTGAGACCTCAGACACAACAAACAGGCAGGAGCATCACATGACTACACTAGTGACACAGGGGGATGATGAACACCATGCGTGCCAATGGGCAGCCCTGCCTCATGATTCCCATCCCAGCGCATCCCTGGACCCCGACAGTCCCCTCTTTGCAAGAGTCCTACTCTGACTCCAGGACAGCTCAACTTGGAGGGAGGGCAACCATGGTCGATGACAAGTGCCCAGACCTGACCTTTTCTCCCAAGACAACCTCACCCATCTTTATAGAAGCCATAGAGTACTTACTGAAAATAACTTCTACCTTATAAGTAATACAGACTCCATTTTGGTAGATGCAAGTAGCTGAAGGGCAGGAAGTCTCAAGAGGGACCCCCAGGCAATGGTAGCACTTGAGTCCCTGAGCTGAGAAAGAAGCCAATATATGAGGGCTAGGGCATGTCCTTCCTAGCCCAGACCCCTCCTCTACAACTGGCTTTCCTGCCACACAATAGGACACAGCAAGGACATTACTGCCCAGTCACCTCCAGCTAAAAACAAAAGTGAATCAAGAGCCACAGTTGTTCAAATATGCTGGCTCCTGGTGTCTGAGGATTTGTGGCAGAGATAGTGATGTCCAACACTTCAGGCAGGTTTGCATACACAGCAAGCACCCCAGCATAGGAAGCTTCACCCACCAGGAGACCCAATCCCCTGACACCAGCACACCTCAGGCACTGGGCACACAATGGAGGTGCAGGTGTACCCCCCAACCCAACCAAGGCCCTTTTCCATCTCCATTGTACCCTCCTGCACCTCTCTCATTTTCCATCTCACCTCTTTCTGCACACAGTAGGGCCACTAGCAGGATGAGCACACAGGACTTTGTAGTGTGAGAACTGTTCATCCTCGGAGAAGGGGTGCGCACATAAAACCTGGGAAGTTGGAGTCAGTTAATAGATCCCAATCACATCCCTGGGCTCCTACAGGACTCAGGCATCCAACCTTCCCTCCCTCCAACCCTCCACACAGCTCTCCCCAAGGGATAGATGGGTTCCTACTTCTCTTATGCACCACCCACCCAGCTTTTCCTCCTAATCCTAGACTCCCACCCACAATCCTATCCTGATGGCTCTTCCCTTTGCCACCTAGCAGCTCCCTCCTGTCACCAGTCCTTACTTCCTCTCTCTGACCAGGTCGCAGGCTCTGTGGAAAGTCCTGTCAGATGTGGACTGAAGTAAGTACTTTCCCTCAGCTCCTCCCATCTGGCATCCTGAAAGGGAGGGTTTCAGTACTTAATTCTGATAGGACAACATGTTTATTGCTTAAGAGATATCAAGGTTTGTTGGTGACCTGGTAAAGCTGTTTGGGAGGGAGGATCATGAATTTGGTGAGGGAGGACCATGCAGCTGGGGAGAGAGGACCATGCAGTTGGGGAGTGATCATGTTTTTGGAGGATTATAGGGAAAACAGGCAGAGGACATGGTTGACTTGTGCTTGCCATTCAGAAAGCAAGAAAAGGAGGCAACTTGCTCAGCCTTTTTCTGGTTTTGTTTTGATTTGTTACATGGTTTTTTTCTTCATTTGAAACAGAGTTTCTCTGTGTAGCTTTGGCTATCCTAGGACTTGCTCAGTAGACCAGGTTGGCTCCAACTCATAGATATCAAAGGCATGAACTGCAGCTTCTGTACCTTCTGCCACCACCACCTGGCTCTTCCCTGTTTCTAAGTAGAGGGTATGGGCTGCAGCGGCTCAGAGCCCACTGCCCTCCTTCCTGTAAACTGCAAAAACTGACAAATACCTGGAGACTGGCTCTAGTGAGTAAGCCCCCAACTAGATCTATATCCACAAAGTGAGAGTTCTGAGTCAAGAACTAACTGACACCTGGGATGTAAGTTACTAAGCAGTGTCTAGTGTGTTTAGGTGATGTATGGGGCTGCGGGTGCTGTGAGCATCTGGTAGCTAGAGCCAGGGATGCTTTTCATAGCACAAGAAAGTCTTATGCAGAGGATGAATGACCCCAGTGACCCCAAAGCCCAGAAGCCTCCATGAAGAAGCCACATGTTCATTCTTCCTACTCCAGTTTGTATGTTGCATGCCCCTACACCTATGAGGTCCTAGTCTAATGTGTCCCATAAAGGACTGCCTGGCCTTTAAGTCACTATCATGTGGCAGAGTATTCTATTAACTAAAACCTTACTAATTAGCCAAATATTGATGTCATCTGTATTCCAGCCCTGGGATGAGCAGCAGGACCCCCACAGCAAGCCAGAACCTGAGTTTCCTAAACTCATAGTGCTTAGATTCCAGTGAGTAGCCCTACTTAAGTGTCTGCAAGGCACTGATAAGGTTAGAGAAGGAAGGCTGGGCACAGAAAGAGACCTGAGTTGGAAATCATCCTGAGATGACACCACAGCAACAGAACAGGGATGCTCAGAGGACAATGTTGTCCCATGATGGACCACAGAATCCGAGAAGGTGAGCACATCCACTTAAGCAGGCAAGGCTGCAGAGGGAAGGAAGCCAGAGGCTCAGAGAACAGCAGGCAGATTCTCCTGATGGAAGCCACAGGGCTGAAACACAGTCTCAATCTTTATATCATTTCTGGTTGGTTCCACAAATACATCCAACTCCAGTGTCAGTGTTCTGGGTTACACAGGACTATGGATCAAAGAAAGAGAGACACTGTAGGCTGACATCAGGATTCTCAAGGAACAGTGGGGGATCAGCCTTTTCAGGATTGAATACCAAACCTGAAGACTGGTTCAAATCCTTGGAACCATCACTCCAGAATTCATGCAAGACATAATGGTTCTGCTAACATTCTGTGACATTCCAGGTCCTCTACGGTAGCCACATTACAAAATCCCTTCCTTGTTACCCTTTAATTGATGATGGAAATAAACCACATTTGACACCAACACCTCATAACCCAGCACAGTGGTAGGAGGAAGAGAGCAAGGAAAGTTTTCTCTGTAATTCCTTCGTATGCTGCCCTAGGCATTGTCTCATGCATGAACAATTATAAGTGAAGCAAAGAACAGTAGACAGCAAGACTCTGCAAACAAACAGAAACTGTCAATGACAGATTCAAATAGCAGTCCCTCCCCAATTTCACCATCCAATGAGTTTAGGTGATTTTTTTACAGAGGATGAGTGAGGTCACTTACAGGAACATGCAGAATTTTTGAGCAGCTAAGTCACTAGCAAGTCTTACCCCATTATGAAAGCAGTGTCATGGAGTCTCTCTTTCAGTTATTCTTCTGTTTCTTCTAGGTTCTAGCATTTTCTGAGACCACTTATGACTGCACAGGAGCAGGAACCCCAGGTGACAGTCCTCCTTTCTGAGAATAGAGAGTTCTGTCCATTATCACAGACTTGTTGCTGTTTTGCTCTTCTCACTCCATTGCCAGGGCTCCTGGACCAGCGTTATCCCTACTCCGGGATGCCAATGGGGCCATCACCTTCTCTTTGGAATAAAAGGCCATATAACCACAGTGCTGTACACTGTTTCCCTAAAAGTCTTAAACTAGGGCTTCTCATGAGTCCTCTCCAGGTTCCACCCAGCACCACTGTTGGTGAGCTAACTTCCCTTAGTGGTGGACTCCTGCCCAAATTACTGACAGATCACTTAAATCTTAAGGGAGAGGGCAACTCTCTACTTGTATAATCTTAGAGGTAGAGGTACCAGATGTGGCCAGGCTTGTGTTAGAGAAGGGAGGTCCCCTGCAGAGAGAGCTACAAGTAAGGCCAACATACTCAGCCCTCTCTCCTGCCTTCCCACTCAGCCAGAGGCCTGACTACTGTCACAATGAGTAGGTCACACATTAGTCAAGCCCATTCTTCTGTTAGAGAATGAATGACCTCTGTTAAGTAGACACGATCACATATGCCTCCCTCACCACCTTAAGTCATACAGCAAAGGTTTCATGTTAACTAAGTGAACTTCATGGAAATGCCACTTGCCCCTCCCCCATGGGCTGTGGTCTCAGGATGCAGAGGAGCTGGGGAGCAGGGTGTTGCAGGGCAGTGAGTGTGGTGGGTAGAAATGATTGAGAAGACTGTGTTGGACAACAGCTCCTTTATTAGAATAGAGGGGCTAGATTATTTAGCTTGAGTCAGGTAAAGGGGAGGAAAGGGACGGTTTAGGAAGTGCCACAGTGGGGCAGGGGCTTCCAAGTGTATCAGGTAGGTTATGAGATTGTCAGTCAAATGATTTCTAAAAAGAGAGTACTCTAGTGTCGAAACAGAAGCCTAACATTGGTTTTATCCTGACTTGGCTTTTGTCTCTATGGAGTTGAGTAGGCCCAAACCTGATTTGGGTAGGGAGCAGCCCCACTCCTGCAGTGCTCTAGGAGAGCTGTCCAGGGTTATGATCAGTGTTAGCATTCCTTCTAGGCTCTGGCCCTCAGTTACTTGGCAACAGATAGTTATGCTTGACTCATTATAAAAGGGCCTGTTTGCTCCCTCCTCACTCTCTTCTCTTGCTCTCTTCCTCTCTTCTCCTCTGTCTCTTCTCTTCACATTCCCTTTTTCCTTCTTTTCCTTGGTTCATAGCTGGACTCTATTCCTCTACTCTGTCTCTCTCTCCTTCTCTCTCTCTCTCCCTCCCTCTCTTTCTCTGTCTCCCTTTCTCTCCCCCTCTCTCTTTCTCTCTCTCTCTCTGTGTTTTCCTCTCTGCCTTTCCCTGTCTCTACTCCTTGAATTTTTCTCACAGTGCCTTAAATAAACTTTATTCTATACTATACAGTCCTGTGGCTGGTTCCACAGGGGAAGGGATGCCTCAGCATAGGCCCACAGAGGCAGCCCCTTGGTTTCCCCCAAACATATCCCTGGCTTTCTCTTTCTTTTGAAAAAAAAAAAAAAAAAAGACCGTCTCTACCCAGTTCTCTTATCACCCAATAATAATCAAGCTTGTTTCAAATTTGGCTGCAAAATGTGGTAGTGGTCTTCTTCTCACCAGGTTACCTAACAGTGTGCAGCCAGTCTGAGGTTCAGCAGTCATGGGGCAGCATCAATGCAGGAGCCTTTCATAAGAACAACAGGTCAGTGGTGTGTGCTGGTTCATGACCAAACATAAGCACTAGATTCTTCCCTTCTCAACCTCGTGGCTTTTTCATATACTCTTTTTCTTGTTATTCATGTGAGTTACACTTTACAAACGTCTGTCCATTGTTGGTTCTGAAAACCCTTGCTCTGTGTCTCTATCCATCTATCTGTGTGATGAGACAAGACTGTACTTAGGTCCTTCCGTTTTTACTCTTGATAAGGCCATTTCCAGGTTTAATAAGAATGTGATGTCCTACATTGAGAATAAATTGAAAACTACCTTGTTTTATTCTAGAACAAGGTGTCCTAGATAAGTTATCTTACCCTTTATTAAAATTACCTACTTGTGTGAAACAACTCCCCTACACCTCACTGGCTGAAAGATCTTCTTAGTGTCTGTTAAAATCACCTGCTTCAAAGTGCTTACTTCTTCAAAGCTACCTTGTGTGAGATGCCAGGATGTGGTCTCACCCATTTAAAACTTTACAATCTAGACCCTCGGGAACACAACTGGGTACCCATCACTTGGGTGTGGTCCCAGATTTCCGGAATAAAAACTTTCAATTAACTTTACACTCAGTGTAATGTGTGAGTGGCCATTTCTGGCGAACTTCCAGTAATATTTGTTACATTGCACTGTAGAAGCTTTGGACCTGAAGACACAAAAATTCAGTATCACCTCAAAGGGGATAAAAGATAGTTCATTCTAAAGCAAAATATGAATGAGGGTGGTCTTGGGGAAAGCCTTAGGGTAAATCTGATAAGGTTATTTCTCTGCCAGTGAAAGGAGCCCATTCAAGCCACTATATATATATATATATATGAAGGTTTATAGGAAAGGTAACTTCAGGCAAGTTC